GCCGGCATCGACGACTTCATCATGAGTCTCCCAAACCAATACTCCACCCCCATCGGCGAAGGCGGCATAGGTCTATCGGGCGGCCAAAGCCAACGCCTCTCCATCGCCCGCGCCCTAATCCGGGATCCCTCAGTCCTCATCCTCGACGAAGCAACATCAGCCTTGGACGTCGAGAGCGCGGCGCTGTTCCGGCGGACGCTGCTCGAGCTAGTTCGGCAACGCAGACGGTTGACTGTGGTTGTCATTACGCATGCGAGGGATATGATGGCCATTGCGGATCATGTGGTTGTGCTTGAGAGGGGGGAGGTGGTTGAGCAGGGTGGGTTTGGGGAATTGGTTGCTAGGAAGGGCGAGTTGTGGCATTTGCTTAGTGGGGGGCTTGGGAGGGGGAGAGGAGGGGGGGGAGTGAGGGGGGTGGTGTTTGGGGTATGCAGAGGTTTGTGGATTGGGGTGGTTCTTCTGGCAGGAGCGCTAGAATTAGGTAGTGCCGTTGGTACGTAGTTATCGTAGAGTGTGGGGATATCTTTCATGTCACTCGTTTGTTGCCTGGTTGTAGAAAGTGTGAAAGTGTGAAAGTGTCTGAAGCCGGTTCAGCCAGTGTCTCGTATTATACCTCTACACTCTCAAGATAATCACAAACATACAGAACCGAGGTGACTAATCTCAAGCAAGCCACGACCAAAACACAAGTCCCCAGAGCAGGGCATCTACCTAGCCTCAATACCAAGGCCTTTCCCCCTCCCCTCCCTCGCCCTAGCAACAAGATACCAAAGACAACTAATCCAGCAAAGAACAACGCCAACCCAACTATGCGCAGGCAATCTGAATCGACTCAACACAGCAAGTTGAAACGCGCTCCTTGGCACGCTTACAAAAGCAGCAGTAAGCGGACTAGTAGCCTTGACAAGCAACAACGTGGTAGAGAAAACAGCAAACGAAGCGACGCCGCCACAAACCATCAGGAACCAGAACCAGGGCACGTCGAGGAAATAGCAGTTGCGGTGGATGAGTTTGAGCTCGCCTGAGACGAGGACGAAGGGCGTCAGAAGCGCGATTGTCAGCGTGGATGTGTAGTGCAGGGTGCGCCAGTAAGCGCGGGTTTCTTCTTTGGTGCCCGTGCTGATGCTCGATGCATTGGTGTCGGTGGGGAGGAGGATGTCGCCTTGGGGCACGAGGTCGGAGACTAATTGGCGGTAGGCGCGGAGGAGGACGATGGGGTAGAGGGCGGCGAAGAGGGAGGAGAAGACGCCTGCGACGACGGATTCCCAGGTCACGCGTTCTCCGGGCCGGATGATGGCGAGTAGCAGGTTCAGGGTTGCGGTGAGGGTTGCCGAGAGGGTTTGCACTGTGTATTGTTGCTTCATGCGGAGGGTGGTGAAGACGAGGGTGAGTGGGATGATGGCGATGCGGGAGAGCATGTACATGGGCAGCACGGCGTAGGCGTAGGACAGATTGCTGAGTAAGACCTTGGCCATGAAGATGACGGCGACGGGGAGAAGGTGTTTTGACGTCTGCCATTGCCATTCGAAGAGGCCGCCGCCTGAGATGCCACCCGAGCCGTGGGTCAACCAGCGCATTATGTTTGCCCAGACAGACTTGTGGCGGGAGCCGCCACGGTATCGTGTCGCTCTTGTTCCGCGCGAGTATGCGTTGGAGGGTGCTACTACATAGCCTAATCCGATTGTGTTCAGAGGTCTCTCCAATCCGCGAGTCAGGCTGGCGAGGGCCAACAGGAGGATGTGGGTGAAAGCCAGTTGGATAAGGGTCATGGTCAAAGGGTATGGGAATCTGTTGGTCGGATTGTGAGCGAGCGGCTTTGTCGTGTTGAGAGCTGTACGCCACTCACTTGTATGTTCCAGTCCAGAAGATGAATCTGTTCATAAGCAAGAGGGCGAATTGGCAACCTCCTACCCAGAAGACCAGTAGGGCCAAATAGACTTGACGGCCAATGGCGGTCCCATACAAGAATTGACCAACGCCTCCATTTCGTAAAACTTGTTGCACAGAGGTTCCCCCGCGTTTGTCTTTGCTGACCAGGGGCCTGCCCTGCTCTGCTTCTCCAAACTCGAATTCATCCTCGTCGTCCTCTGATTGTGCCGCGCTTCTGCTCCTTGCAAAGGGAGAAGGGGAGCGAGATATGTTGACCAATGGAATGGCCGATGATCCGGCTTTTGGCTCGGGGGCCAAATAGCCTGATGTTACTCTCTCATTCTCGCCCATGTCTGGTGTTTGTGGCCTGCCCCGACCAGCCTCTGTGTCCGAGTCGTCTATTGATGTGCTCCTCGCTCGGGCAAATCTTGAAGCAGTTTTTGAGGCCGAGGCCAGGTAGTGTGAGGCCGGTTTGAAGAAGGCATTCGACGCGAAGGGGCTTGATCGGTTCATGAGTCTTGTGCAATCATGTCCAAGTAAATAAGGTAGCTGTCGATGGTTGTCCAAGGTTTCCAAAATCGCCCAAGCTATTAGATCTTGCTATGCTTTATTTCAAGACCTGCGATAGGGGACCAGTTGTCATGAGGTTTCCCCTATAAAAGCGACACGAGCTAACTTCATTAATAAATGAGGTACGAGTGCTAATCTGCTCCCTCGGCCTTGGTCCCTTGGAGCAGCGTCCACCGCTTAGGTTCCTATCGGCTGTTCCTGAGTGCCAAGCCCGTGATATCCTTGGCGCTTGATGTCCTGCAAAGGGCTGGCAACGACGCCGAACAGTATCATCCTGCCTGAGGACCTTAAGTAGAATCAAACCTAATTCGTATCATCGGAAAGTCAAAGCATATTTGCACAAGCCGGGAGAATAGTCATCGGAGAGCTCCTGTATTTCTTTGCTTCATTCAGCTTTCACCCTCTTCTTTGCGTGGCGAATGAGAGTACGACTTATATTCCGTTTACGCCATGCATCGAAACCTTCAGATCTATCACGTCGGCTATATTTCACGGAAAGTGCTGCTCATTTTTCACACACTGCTGGTCTCAACACCGCTCCTATCACCTACAAGCCTGTCGATCGCCCATTGGTACGAAACTGTCTAGGCCGTCTCAACACCGCTACTATCTACAAGCCTGTCAGTCCATTGGTACGACCCTGTCCCGGCACCATGTCTACTCAAGTGATCAAGCCGCCTCCCCCGCCTCTGCAGCATCCCCATGCTGTGGAAATGGAAAATCTCCAGAGATATCTCGGTCTGGACCCGCAACTCCTTGTCAAAAACAAGCCAAATCCTGCGGCTTTCAACGATGTTGTTCTTCTAGCAATCGATTGTGAAGCTTTCGAACTTGCACAGAAGAAGATCACTGAGATTGGCGTATCGGTTCTTGACACTCGTGACCTCACAGGCATCGAACCGGATGCAGACGCTGCCAAGTGGCTTGCTCAGATCAAGACCAGACATTTCCGTATCAAGGAATATCAGAAGCTCGTCAACAAGAGGTACATCAAAGGTTGTCCAGACAAGTTCAACTTCGGCCATTCGGAATTCATCAATCTCAACCAGATCCGCAACGTTCTGACCGACATTTTCAATAACCCAGCCGGAGTGGACGCTCCAACATTTGACAAACGTAAGATTGTGCTTGTTGGTCACGATGTGAAGAGCGACATCGACTACCTCAAGAACATCAAATTCTCTCCCTATAAAAGCGGCAGAATTGTTGGAATTATGGATACTCTGACGCTCTCCGGTTCGAGCAAGAGTACTACTGTCGGCCTCGAGAGGCTGCTTCGTGGCCTGGGTGCCGATCCAGTGAACTTGCATAATGCAGGTAATGACGCTGCATATACTCTTCAAGCCATCGTCATGATAGCCATCCAACAGACTGCTCAGCCCGGTGCTTACCTCAAGGCCATCCAGGATGTCGTTATGCCTGAAACTTTCAAGCAAAAAGTCCGCCGGGAGCTCAAGGCTAAGAAGCAGGCCCAGCAGGCCGCACAATCCGCACTCGACCAGGTCACAGGACTCGAATCGAATCAGAAAGCCCTTCTTCAACCGAACGCTCAGCTTAATGCAGTTCAAGATGTTGTCAAGACGGAAGCTTTGGAGCAAGGAGCCCTGGGCGGGGCAGCGGGGGAAAAGGCGTCGGATCAAGCAGTGCCAGGGACTGTTCCATTCCAACCCGTTCCCATGCAACGTGATGTAGGAGGAAACGGACATTTCCCAAATGAGGGGATTAGCAAGCCAAGGGCTCGAAACAGGGCCATGAAGGAAGAGAGCCCGTCCACATTTGACCAAGCAGCTGCTGGCCCCGAGTCGGAACAAAGTGTGTCTCGGCAACATGATGCAGTCCATGAATCGGCTGCGCTGCACGAAAGACCAAGATGATGTTGAACTGTCAGCTTTGCGCCTTCCAACTTCAGTTGCCGCACTAAAGGCTATAAGCAGGGACCTGCAATCCACATCTACGATTGGTTCGTCATGACCATTAACGGTCAAGCCTGGCACCAAAATTTCTCATCGAACATTGCTCGCGTTACGAAATACGATGCCTCATCGCTCATTGCAACACCCTCATCAGGATTCGAGGCTTCTCTCTACCTTAACTTGTTACATAGCATGACCCCGTTTGTGCGGGCTATAAGCATCTCATTTCGAGTATGTTATTCCACTTCTAGAATCTCGACACCAGACGCATCATCACAGTCATCCCAAGCACTGTCTCGGCCTCTTGCTCTGGCCTTGTCACCTGAAAGCACCAGACAAGAAGAAGCGCTTACTGCAAATTGGCATCCACCTATCTTGATAGCAAATATAATTATCACAAGTCCAAATTCAATGCATCCTTCTACCAATAACTCTCTGCTCCACCCTGATAACCCATCCACTATGTCTTATCTCTACCTGTTCGCACTAAATCAGAACCTCCTCAATCAGCAAAAGTGACGCCTGTATATACTAGCAATTTTCAAAACAAGAAGTACCGAGTCGAGTATGCATTCATATACTACATACATACATACATACATACATACATACACAGGCAAAGCGAAAACAAAAGTAAAAGAAGTGGGTGGGTCTGGCCGCGATTCGAACGCGGGACCTCTCGCAAACAAGGCTCAGGAACAACGAGCTGACGGATGAATCAAACTCCCTAAGCGAGAATCATACCCCTAGACCACCAGACCGATATATCTCACTGTTGTTTGACAACTGCTTGATGAGAGGGTGGCAATTTTGTGGGATTATATACTTTGGGTTTTGGGATGTTTATAAGAGATGCTGAGGGTTGTTGATGGGGGTGTGGATGCTGAGGGTTGATGCTGAGGAGGAGCGGGGGGTTAGTATCTTTTTACTGTTGGTGGGTTTTGCTTGTGCTGAGGGGTTCAGGAAAGTAGTGAGGGGGTGAAGCAATATTGTTGTTTTCGTTGTCGCGGTTTGTGTTCAAGTGTCGTCAGGTGATTTGATTTGATTTGATTTGATTTTCTCAATTGGCTATGCGCGACATCCTAGTCGCATGAGCCCTGACAAATCGACGCTAGTCTATATCTGGTAATTACTTAGATCCTTGCTCCATTCTACAGCTCAAACTGATAGTGGTCCCTTCTAAAGGGTGGTATTGTCCTGCGATGTACTGGCTCTGTCCAGTATTGTATAGGATTACTCCTCTTCCTCTTCCTCGTCCGTTCCCTCAGATTCCTCTCCATTCGAGGTCTCTGAATCCTCCTCCTCCGTCACCTCCGTCCTTCTCTCCTTCCCATAGTCGAGACGACCTGAGTCGAGCACGAAGCGGATGGTTTCTCTAACTACGCTGAGGTCAGGCTTCCATTTCTCCATTGGTCCATCCCTATGCTGTCTGCTAGTAGGAGCATGCATATCTCTGCCCCCTACTATATGTAATACATTGCCGTATTGTGGTCCGAGTCTGTCTATGAGTATCCTGCATTGATTCTCATAGCAAGGACAGAGCACCAGAAAGTGGCAGGTAGTCTCTAGACCTTGTCCGCATTTGCATTAGTCTATGTCTGCATTATTGATTTTATATAGGAAACTATTAAAGCGCAAATGACCTATATAGAGCTATGCTAATATAGACGCCTCCTTCTTGTTCAGAATATTATATAGAGCTAATATGTGCCTTCTAGGAGTAGCACTGTCTGTCATTTTTAGGCTCCTTCCTATATTCCATTAGTGTTAGCAGGCTCAACGGATAATAGCCTTCTTAATTGTGTCCCACCCTTTAGCTATACTGTCTAGTATATCAAGTTTATAGCTGACTATTATATTATTAGATGCAGTTAATGCTTTAGCTTCTTTATTAGCAATTATATGGCCTAGGATCTTTGCCCTCTTTAGGATCCATTTAATAAGGATCTAACAGCCCAGTTTGGCTTAATAATCTATGTATACTTAGATACTCTGGGCAACTGAGGTTAGATTGTCTTTAATATAACCTATAGCCTTTTTACTATCTGACCAAATAGTGGCCTAGAAGGTATTAGGTAGTTGGATGTCTGCATTCTCAAGATATGCGTCAATTAGTATAGTTACTGCGTAAATGGCTGCCAGCTCTATTAATATGCTATCAATATAGTTGTTGTTACGTATAAGGCTAGACTTTGTTATAAATAGGGTTAGGCAATTATTATATATAGCTAGTCCTATACCTGCTTTGCTATTAGCTATTAAGCCATTAGCAAATACATTCATCTGTTCTAGTTCTATAGATTGATACCTCCTAAGTGTAGCGTCTAGAGTGTCTATTTTATTCTCGAGTTGTATTTCTGCTTTTCCCTATAGAGGCGTGTTCCATGCTAGAATGATTTCAATTGATTCACCTAGGCGTCCTAATGTCAATTCAATCTTTTAGAAGGGTGAAGCAAATGTCTTTAAGCTGTATGCCACTTAGAGCTTTCTTATATGTGTCTTAATAGAGTTGGAATCTAAGAGGGAATGTAGTCCTACCTATAGTTTACTAATTTTCAGTTAGAGACAGAAATAGAGGAGGAGGAGGGTTGCTTCTACACTTGCTGCTTCTACTGAGACTGTTCTAAAGCTTTTCATTACAGCCTGAGCTCCAATCCTATAGATTAGATTGAGTATCTTGCCTATGCTATTATTAGCTTTGCTTCCTATAAACTATGCGTACTAGACTAAAGCTGCATAGTCCGTTTTAGACGCCACTGTTGCTAAATATAGTTAATACGCAGCTTTTAGTGCAATATGTCTAAGTCTTTTAAGCTAGCTAGCGCTCTTCCACCCTCTAGATTTCACTTTAGCAAGGTGATCCTTAAAGTAGAGCTCTAAGTTAAAGATTACACTAAGGATACGTTCCTTTATAGAGAGCTGGACTTCATGCTGTTCTATTTAAAAAGGAGTAAATACGTTTGCTAGCTTCTTTAGGTTCTAGGAGAAGTGTATAAGGATTGTTTTATTGCTTTTAAATATAGCTCTACTATCTTTTACCTATTAAAGAGCTTATAGGACTATTTTCCTATTAAGTATTGTTATATTCCGTTTAATAAAGTTTGATATAGCCTATTAGAAGTAGTTGTTAATAAATCCTATATTGCCTCTCTTACTGTTAACTCCTTTCTCTATAAGGAACGCGTTAAAGAAGATATACAGTATAGAAGCTAATGTGGATCCTTATAGGAGTCCTGCTTCGGCTAATAGAAATATATCCAATTTGTATCTGTTTACTACTATTGTAGCGCTGCAGCTATAAAGGAATGAATCGACCTAGTCTATTATTCTCTTTAGGATACCTTTTACGTATAGATAACTGCACATAACTAGTCTAAGTACTCTATTATAGGCTCCTTTAATATTAAAACTGATAAAGGAGAGGATCTTCTTTTGTTACTATGCTTTGTAGATTTTCTCAATAAGGAGAAGTAAGGCCTAGTTACACAACCTCCTTAGCCTTGCTCTAAACTAGGTGGCTAGTAGGAGATTAAAGGTCTTAGCCTAGTATAATAGCCTTTAAGCTAAGACTAGCTTTATAAGCTTGCTAAGAGTTAGAAGGAGGGAGATAGGCCTATATACTTTTAATACGTAATAGTCTGGTTTCCCTAGTTTCTATAATAGGAGGATGCGTGCTGTTTTCTATGCTTAAGGTACGTACCCTAGCCAGTATAAAGCATTAAATATCCTGGTAATTAGCTATACAGTTAACTTCTACATTTTCTTCTATGCAGTGTTTGGAATACTATTGATTCCTAGTGCTTTAAATAAGCTAGTTTTAAATAAGGCTGCTGCAATCTTGTTTATAATAATATCTAAGTCTTTGAGATTAGCGTTAACTTCCCTATCCAGGTCTTCACGCTATCTATCTAGGATAGGTAGGAAGAATGTAGAAATCAAAGTGACTGCTTTCTTATAGTCTTCTATAACTTCTATTTCCTGTCCCCCTCTGTCTATAACTAGGGGGGGAATGGCGCTAAAGGCTAAGGGCTGCAGGTCTAGGTACCTAGCAGCTTTCCAGATGTTGTCAGTTCTTGCTAGGAATTCGTTCTAGTAGGAGCGTTTCTTTGCTCTAATTACTATATAGAATCTGTATTGTGTTCTCCTAGCTCTAATCTTACTTTCTGCCCTATCAAGTCCTGCTCTCTAAAGGTATGTATCCTAGTTCTTGCATTACGTGTATATATTATATAGCTTTGTTAACTTATTGTCCCATTATGCCTTTATATATAGAGATGAATTTATAAAAGGGTAATATTTACAGATACAGTTCCTAACTGTGTTCTATAGGTTTAATATTGCTGCATCTACGTCTTTGCTTGTCTTTAGGTTTAGTAGTACTAGTGTCTATGCTTCTATAGCTTTACTAACTTTCGCCTAATCCGTTTTTCTAAAGTTGTACCTTACTTTATCTGTTAGCTTTATTTGTTAATACGTAAAGCGTAAAATGATAGCCTTATAATTGGAGCTATATTAGGTAAAGTGTAAGTCGCATTGTACAATCTGGGACTAAAGGGATTAGGAGACTAGTATAAGGTCTATAATTGTTCCAAAATGTCCTTTTAGGTATATAACTGTGCTTTATAAAAGTGCTAAGAATATATTATGTTTATAAATCCACTAAAGGATAGGTTCCCCTTTACTAAAATGTTGAGTCTAGGGGATATTGTAACTACCCTATACTAGGTTGTGTCAGTTAAAGTCTTCTCCTATAACTATAGGGAGGGTCTCTCTATATTTCAACTTTGCTATACTGATAGAATAACTAAGTGCTAAGAGCCTTGCTGTAGCGCTTTTATATAGGTCTTATTTAGAGTAGGAATGTCGGTTTTTACTTAGAATGTATACTAATATAAAGAAGATGGGTCCTGCCCTTATAGCAATAACAGCAGCTGTTATGTCTAACAAGTCTACTAGTATCTGTATTGAAGGAGTGTCTTTATAAATGAAAAGAAGTGATTAGAATGCTTTGTAAAGTGGGCCTGCCTGCTTTGTAGAGGGTACTAGAGCATTCCAGTATTTATATTAGTAGATAACTAGTTTGTTATTAATACTAAGGATATTTGGTTCAGTAATAAGCATTGCTAAGTAATTTTTAAAAGAGCAGTTATTAAGCATGCTTAATTAGGCTGCTAACTGTTTATTCATATTTATTAAGATAACTTGGGTGTCCTCTATTAAGCATTGCTTATAGTGACTTTCTTATAATTACAGTAAGATGTGACAATTTGCTATTTACCTCTGTTGTCCGCTTCTATAGCAGAGCTTGGTCCTTTCCTGCTATAGAGCTTATTAAGCTCTTTACAGTAGATAGGGCAACCATTGTCTCTAGCTATATATAGTCCCTTATATGCTACGTATGTAGGATTAGAAGCTTTGCATTTGTCTACTGCATATAGTCCTATATATTTACTGTATTTAGTTTCCTTAGTGCATCTTACTATTTAGTAACTATAGTTATAACAGTTATAGCACTATAAGGGTTGGATTATCTTCTAATACTTGCTAATAAAAGAGATTGAGCCATCTACTTTAACCATTCTCTTAAAGAGAGCTCTTATAGCGTTGTCTTTGCTAGCCAGGTAGACAATTATTGATCCTGTGTATTTCTCTCCTTTAGAGATCCAGTTTATTTACATAACTCTAGCAAATCTGTTAGCTGCACTGAACTTGGCTCTAAAGGTCGGTTTAATCTTCCGCGTCCCTAATATAAGGACGGAGT